GGTGGGGAGAGGGGCTTTCGGGTGAGGGCACCCCCGGGCAGCGCCTCGGTGGCGGGGGGCACCCCCCTCCGGGCCCTGTTACCATGGCAACGTGGCGGTCACCAGGGGTGTGGCACCCCGGGGTGGGTGGGAGGCTCAGGCCCCGTTACCATGGCAACGTGTGTGTGGGAGGGTGGTGACACCAGGCCTGTGGCACCCCAGGGTGGGAGGCCCCCTCACTAGACCCTGTTGCCATGGCAACGTGTGGGGGGTGGTGATGCCAGGACTGTGGCACCCCAGAGTGGGCACCCCCCCAGGCCCTGTTACCATGGCAACGTGTAAGGGGGGTGATGGGTGCGTGGCACCCCGGGGTGGGGGGCGCTGCCTGGCCCCAGCCCCGCTGACGCCTTGTCCCCGCTGACGCCCTGTCCCCGCAGGATCGTGCACCTGTGCCTGCGCAAGGCCGACCAGAAGCTCGTCATCCTCAAGCAGATCCCCGTGGAGCAGATGAGCAAGGACGAGCGCCTGGCAGCCCAGAACGAGTGCCAGGTCCTCAAGCTGCTCAGCCACCCCAACGTCATCGAGTACTACGAGAACTTCCTGGAGGACAAGGCGCTCATGATCGCCATGGAGTATGCCCCAGGTGGGCCCTGCCTACCCCTCTCGCTGGGGGCACCGGCCCTGGGGCTGATTCCCCAGGGAGTCCAGGGCACCCGGAGATGCTGGGCAGTCGCCTTTTTGAGGGTCAGGCTGCTGTGACCCCCAGGGTTCAGCTGATGTCCCAACTTGCTGCTTAGTCCTGCTGTTGCTGTCCCCACGTCATGCTTCTTGTAAAGCTCTGGTGCAAAAGGCGGCTGAGGCTGTCAAGGAGACCAGACATGGCTCTGTTGCACAGATACGGCCATTGTATGCCCTACATCTGCTAATCATATCAGAAACAAAGATTTATCTGGTCTCTGTCACTGATAAGTACGTTACCATCTGCCCTTGGTTTAGGTTTCACTTAGGTTTCCTTGCGTCAGCTCTTGGCCGTTCTGTTGGTCTCACAGCTCCGTGAGGGACAGTACGATTTCTAACAGCGTTTGCTGTGGAGTTTAATACTAAATCAGCATTTGCATGAGAGATTGTTAAAAGTTTTACATGAGACCTGAGTCTGAACCTTCCCTCCTGGATGGGGGCCCCTTAGTGCCACGTGGCCTTTTGGACTGCAAGAATGTTCTTCTGCAGAACAGGCTTATCTTGTTCTGCCATTGAGGTTTGTGTCCTGACAGGGCTCCAGGAGCTGTAATTTTAGCATTTCTTTTTTTCTGTTGTCTTTGACAATATGTCAACAGCAACTTCTCTTTCGCTGTTTCTTCGTCCCACCAACTGTGCTGCCATTGTTCTCCGCACAGTCTTGGGCGCACTGGAGGACGTGCTAGGTATCCCACTAGGATGTGCTGCTTCACATGCACTTGGCTTGTTAAAAGGCTTTGACTAAATCACCTGTTTTTAGGTTGGGTTTATGGTGCCCTGTGCAGCCACTCTTGCCAATAGCCCTCCGCTGTTTTTGCAGGGGGCACGTTAGCAGAGTTTATTCATAAGCGCTGTAACTCCTTGCTGGATGAGGATACCATCCTGCACTTCTTCGTGCAGATTCTCCTGGCTCTTCACCACGTGCACACCAAGCAGATTCTGCACCGCGACCTGAAGACTCAGAACATCCTCTTGGACAAGCATCGCATGATTGTCAAGATTGGAGACTTTGGCATCTCCAAAATCTTGAGCAGCAAGAGCAAAGCCTACACGGTGGGTGTCCTGGCTTTAGGGGAGGGGTGCTACTTCCCACCATGAATAGCAGGGCTTGAAACTCCCTGGACTTGGCTCCCGGGAGTCTCTGGGAAGCTGCTGTAGGCAGTAAGATCGGATATAGCTTACCTGCAGTAGGCCACGCCAGCGTGATGCAGTGCTGCTTTGCTCCTTGGAGTTTACGCAGGCTGATGTCTTCATGCCTAAGTTTGTTGCAGCTCTGGAGGCTGCAAGAAGGTGAAAAAAACCTGCCAGCCCAAGCCCAGGAGAGGGTGGGGTGTCTGAGCTCACTGGAGAGGCCAGATAGGGTTTTTTGCCAGCGTCCTAGATGGAGAAGTGGTGTTTGCAGGCATACTTGATGACCGAATTCCTGCTAGTGTCCTGCCTTGCCTTAATCTCTTCTCTTTGCCTGAGACTTTAGTATCATTCACTGTCAAGACTAATCTGGCTAGACGTTTATACCGTGCTCATCGCTCGGGGTGCTGATTCTCTCAAGTGGGTAGGAGCAAAATCAGATATAATCTCTGTAGGTGAGAGGGAGGCCTCCAAAAAGACAAATCCCTGGTGATTTACTTTAGTACTGGGCTCTAAGTTGAGCCCTTCTCTTTCCACCTCCCTGTTCCAGTTTTGCAGTGTTGTGGTGGATCTCTCTCTGACTTTTCTAGGTTGTGGGGACTCCATGCTACATCTCCCCAGAGCTCTGTGAAGGGAAGCCATACAACCAGAAGAGCGATATCTGGGCTTTAGGCTGTGTGCTGTATGAACTTGCCAGCCTCAAGAGGGCTTTTGAAGCCGCGGTAAGAGGGATATGGTTGACCTATGACACAGGGGACTGCGGTCCCTTAGACATGTGAAAACGTATGCTTGGATCATGCTTCTCACTGAGCCCAAAGGTGTGAAGGCAGAGGGCAGGGCTGAGAACATCTTGCTCCGTAGCCTCACCTCTGGCCACCCGCTGTATGTCTGTCTCGTTTTCTCTCCAGAATCTTCCTGCCCTAGTACTGAAGATCATGAGTGGAACGTTTGCCCCAATATCGGATAGATACAGCCCCGACCTGCGCCAGCTCATCCTTAGCATGCTAAACCTGGATCCTTCCAAGCGACCCCAGCTGAATGAAATCATGGCCCAGGCCATCTGTATTCGTCCCCTTCTGAACCTCTACACTGACGTGGGCAGTGTCAAAATGAGAAGGCAAGTGGTACTGCCGTGTTGGTGTCCTTTGGGAGGGGCTGCTGCAGCTCACGTGTCTGACCAGTTCACTGTGTCTGATATGAGCTCCGAAGAGAGAGTTGTCCCCACCTAGCTCTCCCCTGTTCCCCCAACATGCAGTTGCTGCAGGCTGAGCCTGGCTCTGCAGCTCAGGGCTGCGGCAGGTGTGGGTTTGCCATTGCTGTAACAACGAACGGGGAGTTGTGAGCTCAGGGTGAAGTGAACTGGCACGGACTGCTCTCTCTCAGGTGGCTTAAAGCGTTTACCAAGGCAGTTCTGTGGGCTATTCAGCTGTGGCTCGTGCTGTAGCTCTGCCCAGACCGTCTGTGATCCAGGGTTCTGCATGACCTCTGGGCCTGAGCTGACAGTAAGGGCTGCATTTTGGTTTGGCAGGCCTGAAAAGCCCTTGGCTCCAGTGCCGACAGTGACCCACAGCCGGACGGGGGGACGAGTGAGCAGTGCCAGGCCGAGGGGTGAGTCCTGGGGCAGTGCATTCAGCACAGCTCCACTTGGAAGAGCCCTTTCCCTTGGATGTCAGGGGGTCTTGGAGGCACTCAAGCTCCTGGAGGGAGGAAGTTATAGAGATGTCACCTTCCCTGAGCCCTGGAGGAGCTCACAGGCACCTCCGCTCTGGGGACCAAGCAGCAGTC